CTATAAGTTATAAGCTATAAGCTAAACCAAACACATCAAAATAGCTTAAATTAAGCTGAAAGCTGAAATAAGCTGAAATTAAGCTATACCAAACAGGGCCATAATCACTTTCCCACAGCTCTATCAAACGGCCATATGAGTGACTTCAATTTGGAGTGACTGTCGTGCTGGGTGCACAGCAGTCACTGTTGTGCAGTTAAATTGGTTCATTTAGATAATTTGAACCGTTTAATATTAGAATACACTAAGTAGAATATACTTGTAAAAAATTAAGTTAATCGGATGTCGTTTACCTTTTCATCCACTCACATTTGTATTTACAAAAATAAACAACAATTGTAATTTAAAGTATTAAAATGAATACAAATATGAATAGATGAAAGAGTAAACGATATTCGATTAATTTAATTTTTTGCAAGTATGTTATATTTGATGTATTCTAAAATATGAACGACTAGAATTATGAAAATAGATTCCGAAATGAGTCTATTTAACTGCACAACAGTAATCTCGCACAGTAACCACCCCTAATCCGAGTAACTTACATGCTATTGACATGTTCATTTTCGGTCAACAATGCTAATTGCGGTTTTTTATTACACCATATTGATACAAAAATAAAAAATTAAGATTAAAATTAAATTAATTAAAATAACATAAAAAAATAAAGTATAAAGACTATCATATTGTAATTTGCTATTCTCTGTAATGGTTTGCCATTGTCAAGCATTAATCGTATCTCACACTCAAAAGACTTGGATCTCCAATGAACACAAGATATAAAAGTATTGTTTATAATTGAAGGTGATTGCCTAAGGCAATTGTCTTAGTTGTCACCTCAAATAATATATAAAATAATGTGATCAAAAGAATTAATAATTGTAACATTTTTTTTCCCATCCCTATAGTATGATTTGGAAAGTAGGTTAACTTTTTAATTTTTTTTTTTTTTTTGACTATTTTAGTTGCTGGTTAAAAGTTTGATTTGAAATTTTTTTTTTAAATTTTTTAAGAGAGAAAGAATGTAATGATTATAGGTTGGATGTGATTTCTTGTTTTATTGAGGTAAAAAATCTATTTTATTTTTTATGATTATTTTAGTCAAAAAAAATCCCCCAAACCCTCTTTCCAAACCATGCTTATGTATTTAAGAGTTTTTTTTTTATTTTAA